TTTCCCATCTAGGGGTTACTCTGGCAGATAAGTGGAAAAAGACCCAAAATACATGTTCTCTGGGTATGAGATTGTGTTTCAACCAACGTTTCTTTCAAAAGGCATTATGGTGCCTTTTTTATGCAAATGCAATTCCTGTATTCTTTAGACAAATTGTGCAGTTTTCTTAGAAAGAAAACCTCCATGTAGTCCAAAAAAATGTGAACAAAAAAGTGCTGGAAATTTTGATGTTTTGCTATCCAAAATTTCCTTTTCTTTTATAAATTATTGTGTAGTTACAACACAAGCAACCCTTTGTCATAAATGTTTTCAGTGCGCAAATTTTGGGGTGACAATTGAACAGAAAATAATACAAAATGTACTGCATCTTCCCTAATATGGCATCACAGCAACAGCACCCTCGGTAATGGGAGACTTTGAGATAGTCCTTTTTAAATACCAGTTCTGAGTGTGCACGCATTGTTCTATGGACCAGTGAATTTAGCCAAGACGTTTTGAAAACTTTTACAGGCCCAAAAATTTTAGTTCAGGGTCATCTGCTAAAAACAATTTATCAAGAAATTTTCAAGAAATCATCATAAATAGTTCATGATTAAAGAGTGTTCACCATGCTAGTAAGTATGAGGGTTGTAATTTTTTTTTAACAAGACAAAAATAATGTCCTCATAAGGTTTGTCAAACCAGTGTGCGCTAGTTGTGTGAAAGAAGTCACTTTAGAACATTATCAGGGATGTACTAAGTTCCAAATGTGACATGAAGATTCTGGCTTTTGAGATGATTGTTGAAGTTCCAAAGAGATTTGAGATGTGAACTGTGAAGACTTTAACCATAATACTCGAAGCAGAGAACAAGAGCTGGAGTCTAATATTGTACATGTACATGTATTTATGTCTTCAGGCCCTGTCGGTGAATGAACTTCGTGGATTGGAATTCTGCAGTTTTGTGAATGGTACTAAGATAAATTGGTGAGAAAAGCTCATTCTTTGTTTTCATTCCACTATTAAATGCAGAAATTACAGATAGAAGGGCATGCAACCTTGTTCTTGTTTGACTTTTGTAATTTTACATGTTACGGTTGACTTGTGGAGTTTCTGTGGGATGATGTCAAATGTGCCCTCTCCTGAAACATGATGAAGTACATGTAGGTTTGTTCTAATTTGTTTTATATCCCTCTGTGCACAGTGTGCCAGGGGAAGCTTACCTTGGGCAGCAAGGCATTGATGACACAGACTGGGGTCTCTGGAAGAATGAGGTTGCCCTGGGATCAATGATCATCATCCTTCTGATCTTGGGTTACATCCAGCTGCGGCGCATCCACAAGCTTAAGTGAAACTGATACCCATTGCAAAAGACAAGCAGTGAATCGCCTGCACAGTTGTCACAGCTCCTCGACACTGTTGTTGGGTCTTCAGCTGGATACTTTGCAGGGAAGCAGACACAAAGAGGAATTTTACACACAGACACACTTATAATAAACATCAGAGTTCTAATTGACAGCAGTTGAAAGGGACTCAACTTCTGCAGATCCTCAGCTTGAATCTCAAAATGTTGCTTTTGCATTCACTTTCCCATTACGTATGAACCTACCTGTATTCTGTTGTATAACCATTAGGTCCATGATTAACCACTTCGTGCTGCGGCATTTTTCAACATTGATGATGCTGGGCCGGCATGACTATCATTTTTTCCGTTTTCAAAAACCTAATATTCATCATTTCATTTAACAGTCGTTTATAGCAGCACGAAGTAATCTTAAGGCACTACTCAATGTTGACAGGTGACCTTCATTGACGCCCGAGTATTTCAGCCAGGCCTGCAGCCTTGTAAACAGAGCCCAGATTGTGCGGTGTTATACAACTTTCTTTTGTTCATGAACCTGGCTCAGTGTACTGCTGACCTCTTTTCAATAGGGGCCAGATTAGCGTGCACGGGTGCTGTGTGGCTCATCACTGTGGTGGTGGAGCGCTTCTGTCTGTAATGCCCAGCAGCCTGGTGTTTTGTTCAGAGTACGGTCTTTTGTTACAGTGCCCTGTTTCCTTTGTCCGAGTTCGGAGACCCCGGCCACGCATATAAACCATACATCTCCGATTTCCCCGGCAGGAAGTGGTTAACATGTCTTGTGCACAGTGGGTTTCAATTACCTAATAACTTAAAGAGTCCAGGACTGGTAGTGGTGATCCTTTTAAAATGTAAGCAAGTAGGCCACACATTTTGTGCTCAACAATTTTTAAGGTGATTTTCAGTAGCACCGTCAACTGACCATAGTCATGGAGTGTTGTCATAGAACGTTCCTCCTTTTGTAACCCAAAGATCAAGTTCAGTGTGCATTACATTGCTTGCTTTGCAAAACCAACCTCACTGAACTCTTAAAAAATATATTGTAATATAGAAAAAGTATGGAAAAACAGTCAGCAAAAAGTATGCAAAGGTTGATGGAGTTAAGAAAACACTTCTGATGTAGAGAAGAAGGAAATCACAAATTTCTCAATTGAGATTTTATTTGCAACTTATTTTTACTGAAAAAGCTGTGATAATAAAAGGTGGAAAATGTTTGAAAATTATCTGAAGTTGTTTTGCTTGACAAATCTGTAACATAGAGTTTTTGGTGACCCTGTGTAAGCAGATCTCATTTTAGAAGTGTAGCTCTGATAAAAACTGATGGTTTGGATCAGTGCGATGTTTTAGAAAAAAATTATAATGTATGCATGGGGCATTGAGATAACTGTAAGCTAATGCCAGTAACTACCAAATTGACAAATTCAGAAGTTTGGAAAGGTTATAATGTGCACTGTGTAATATACATTGTCATTCAAAAACGTCTGTGTCTTTATAATGCAAATTTGAATTTTGAATTTTAACTTCACAAACAATGGATTATTAAAGTATGTACATGCTTACTAATTTTAAGCAGTGTGGGGGTTGAATGTGACCTCCCTCAATTTTACATCATGATACAAAAATTGTTTATTAATTGTAGTTGTATTACAAGGTTGTCGAATTAACCTCACATCATGATTTGTTACAGTCAAAACTCAACAAATTTGTACATGCGTTGTATCACAGAATTGGTTTTTGTAAATGCGGACATGTTTTTCATGATCAGATATTTAGAAATCCAGTTTCAATTTGAAATGAGGAAATACTTGATATAAAATCGTAGTTAAAGTATATGTTTGCCATAATAAGATTTCAGTGTTGCCACATTTTTTAACACTTTGAACAAAATCTAATCTGCATCAAAATACTTGTGCTGTCATTATTTGTTATAAACCATTTCCTATTGTTACACGAACATGGAGTCCCAGGCCTATGATGTTCTCGCTGTTAACTTGACCCTTCGCCTGTGTGCACACCTCTGTTCCATCCATCCGCGCATAGGTTTGGGCTTTGTGAAACATCTACATAAGGCCTGAGTGCAGGAGTCCCTGTGAAATGAAAACTGTCAAACTGCGTGGGTAAATATAAGTCGTCAGTTAGACTACGATAATTATTCACATATATGAAAGTGAATAAATCATAACCAGTGGTGTATCCGGTGATGGGGGGCAACTTGCCCCCGAACTGTGTTTTTTAAAATTGTTTTTATTTTTTACTTTTACAAAGAACACTTGCTAGGTAAGACAGTAATCGCGATACATGTATATGTTATTAAACATTAGCACCAAAACCCGAAATGAAATCAAGGATGTCGGGACTGTGAACATTAGGCTTTTGATACTCTCCCGAAATCATGTTCAATTAGTCCAAAGTCACAGTTACTTTTGAATTTGCCCCACCTGATAGCAAAGGCTGGATAACACCGCTTCTCATAATGCATACAGCTTAATTCTTGGAAATTTCTCACCCGAGGACAATTTTTAAAACAAACAAAAAAAGGGTGAAGGGTATTTTTTTAAAATTTGTTTCACGAGGCAGGAGGGGAGTGATTTTCTTGATTGGGACAGGATTTTTACTGCGTCTAATATGTGCTGAGTCGTCTTTGTAACTAATGACCAAGAAATTAATTAGGACAAAAAATGTGTGGGCTACAATTTTTAAAGATGTGCACTTCCAATCAAAATCCGACATCGGAACTGGATTTGGATTGATCCTTTCCCATAATCCGGCAAATTCTAATTTTACCACAACTTGGGATGAACCAAGATTTATTTCTTCAAATTACTATCCCGCCGTGGGGAGATGTAATGATTCTGCCTGGTATGTTCCCAGTTTCCATATTAAGCCTTATCCCTAAACTTTATGGCGTCTGCATCCTGGAGTTGTCTCCCTCTCCCTCCTTTTTGCCACAGCGGCATACATGACCCATTGTATTTGCACCAGGAATGAATGGCATTCTTGGGCCAAACAGCAGTGGAAAAATGTCGAGCTATTTTATTTGTCCGTTGTTCGAAGAGGATTTTTAATGACTGACAACTCAATTTTCCATATCATTAGACAGACAAATCACGGTTTTATGTTCAGCGGAGGCACTTATTCATTGACCCGAAAAATCTGATTCGTCCTGTCTTCTGCTTTCAACCTACCCCAAACTGTCCCCGTGAAAAAAATATGTACATGCCTTTGTTAAAAAATGGCTAATGGTGTCGTATTGCATATCCAAGATATCTGGTTGGGTGAGAGGACACCTGGACCACTTATTTGATGCGAATGTTTTTTACGAATGAAACTTTTTTCCAAGTTCGTGTTAACGAGGTATATAAAAGATGTCATTCTTCTGTATAAGACTGTCTTCTGAATATGCCTCCGTATTTGCCCCCTTTTATTCTAATGTCTCATGATCTTATTTAACTTTCACTCTTGTAGTCATAAATTTTTCATTTATTGACCTCGTGTGTAACTTGATATGTACATTGCAAAACGAAAATAAATGTTGAGTCAATTAAAAAATGCACCTCTGCACTGAGATGTGAACGTGCTCGTTATGTTACTGGGATGGGGGATTCCCCGCTCATACTTCACCCTCTAGACGCAAAATAGTGAAACTTCACTCTCAAAAAGAATGAGTTTCATATAAATCAACTCCAAAAGAGTGAAAACCACTCAAAAACAAAGCCTAAGGAAACCACTCCAAAATCACAGAGGAGCCATAAAGCCCAAGGGCGAGATCTCCTGTCAATGGCTCCTTGGCAGATTGTAAAATTTCATTCTTTTGGAGTGGTTTTCACTTATTCCGGGGGTTTTACTTTTGTCAGAGAGGGGCTCACTCTTTTGGAGTGTTTTAAGAATAAGAGTGCATGAGTTCTTCAATCTTTTGCATTAAGAGAGCATGGTGCCAAACAAAAGAGAGTGAATGAAAAAGACATTTAGCTGTGCATCAGTAACAATATAATTACCTATGCGTCTGCCCGTCCGCAACAATCAGACATAACAAATCTGAGGGCTTAGCTCCGCTGGAAAAATTCCTGGATTCGCCTCTGATAATTGGCACAAACGTTTCTCGGTATGTTTTTTGATGTACGTTTTTATGGAAGGGGCGATTATACCATGGAGGTAGGAAAAGACCGTAGGGCCAGGGAGGGGTTCGCCGAGCGCTTAATTTTACCATGAGAGGGCGCTACAACTATCGGTGAGGTCGAGACCGCCGCTCCGCGCGCGCGATCGACAAACAAGCTGCACGGCCGGTCAGGCTGTACTGTGCGACGGCGCGGCGAGCCAGCTTCGTGCGGGCTGCACATGGGAATATGCCAGCTGCCAGTATAAGTGGAAAGGCCTGGAGGCCGGCGGGATGGTTATTGTCCGGCAGCTCAGTAAAGGTCAGAATATTGTTTGTTGTATGACTCAACAAGGGATTTCTTTTCTTCATAACAGCTGAACTCCAACTGTCAGAGTGCCTCCTAAATCTCGACGAGTTCGCTGTATATGGTCAGATTGGTTTGATTGGGCACTAGGCTCAGCAAACGCGAGGGCGAGAGTTTGGCTCGCTCGTCCATGTTGCCAGTGAGCTGGCCAGCTGTACCGAAGAGCGTGTGCAAGTTGTGGTGCCCGGAACCCCCTCCGAATTCTAGAAGACACGCCTCACTTTGCTTGGCTTGCGTGTGAGTAAGAACAGTGTACCCTCTTTGATAGTACTAAGAGCCAGTCACTAACCGTGTGCTAAGAGAATTGGATTGTAACGTCTTATTTGTTAAAATTTTATTTTGATGGAAGCAAAGATGGACATTTTCAGTTTCACGTGAAGGCCAACATGTAAATTTTATTATTCTTAGTCGGGGTCCCCATGCCTACTCGACAAGCACTGCTTCTAAGGGACCCCATCTACATTTTTCCCTTTATGTCTACATATCTACAGTTATGTAGGAAATTGAATGAATGTAAATTGTTGAGTTTTGAATTTTTTATGATGAAACTGAAAGTGGGAAACAAACTACAAAGGTATGGATTTGTGGTCATACTAGTTAACAGTTATAAAATATCTCCTGTCTTAGTATAGGTGTGTGTGGTTCTAATAAGTACTGGAGGGTACTCACCGTTTTTAATAGTATGCATTCTCAGCCAGAACAGCCTAAAAGCACTTTCCATATCACAAAGGCATGTCAAAGTGCTGAAAAAATCAGAGGTTGATAACTTGGATAAAACAATACATGTACATGTATCTTACAAAATGATTGTAGTCCAAACATCTGACATGCCTGCTGTGGACCCTGGTAAATAAACAAATTCCTATACTATATATGTACCGGATAATTGGTCATGTCTTTTTGTTTACATAAGTCAAATATGGCAATTAACCAATGCCAGGTCAGATCAATTGCTTGCTTACATGTACCAGTATGTTAAGTCTTGCCGCATAATCTATCACTACACTACATGCACTATGTACATATTCCACCTTCAGCCTGGTACGTGTACTTTTGTATTATTCATGGTAGCGGATTCAATCCTAACCTCTTTATCCTGAAAGTGAATGATTCTCAAGTCTTGAGGGCTGAATGGCAGAAACTATTCCAAAAATCTGGACATATACATGTATAGGTATGGTATCGGTATCTCAATATCAGGCTACATATACGCCAATTTCAATTGTCTTGATTTAAATCAAATTGATCTATGTACCGGTATGTAAAGTGCAGATTTAAATCAGCAGTTTCATTTCATTACTGAATAGGGTATGTTGAAATTTTGTCATTTTGTCAAATGATTGATATTTTATCCCCAGGTTTTGCATTTTGCTTCTGTGAGCCCGCCTTACAGTACACCCACATGTATAGTGTTGATAAGAATGTTGTGAACTCAGACAATATGGGCTGGGAGTAAGCCATGTGGTATGTGGTTGATTCAAATCAGCGTTTTGGATTAAGACCATAAATTAAACAATTCGTAATATAACATTTTCACCTCGGAGTTCAATGTGGTAAAATGCCACTGTGTATCTTTTTATCTTTTCAGGTATTTTATTGGAATATGGACAATTCACAATAGTGCACCTCTAAGAGTTTATAACGCATTGACCAATCACAACATGCAGATCTGTCCACCCTTTCCAAACGTGCATTGGGTCGACAGATTTCACACATAGTGATTGGCCAATGCATTGCAAACTTGGTGCACAATTGTGAAACGCCCATATTAGAAATGTATATATGTGAACATGTAGGTCATTATACAGTGAAACCAAAACCAGTGACAAAATGTTCTTAATATTGTGAGTTTAATCAAGCCTGAGTCACCACTCTTACGTGTAATGATCACCAAGAATTTCAGATTTTTCATTCACAAACCTATTATAATAAATGAGCTTAAGTAATTATTTGATTATTTATCTAGAAACTTGACAGTTCTAATTGAACAGGTACACATATTTTTGAAGTGTCACACCCCAAAGCATCTAAAGAAGAACACATATAAATAAAATTGACCACCCTGCTCAATGTTGTGTATGAGAGTCCCAAGATATACATGTAAGGCAGGGACTGATACCGTATCTGTCCAACAAGTGCTTACAAGTATATGTACATATGCACTCGTGGTCTGTGCAATCATGGAGGAAGGACACAGAAAGATGGACAACTCTGGCACTTCAAAGTGTTTGATGATCATCACTTCCCAGTCAGACAAATAATAGAAACCATCCCAAAAATATGCTATTGCAGCCTGCAGCTTACATGTAGCTGGACAAGTGGTGCCAGTAATATCCTAGCTATACTAGGTGGTGGTGTTTTGCTTGCAGAATATAACTTATCCAGGAAATATTGAGAAAGAAATCATGTTTGACCTTCATGTACATGTACATGTACTTTTGCTATTTGTAAATAAACTTTTTGATTTTGATACGGTGTTCCATTATCCTTGGACTATTTGCAGTTTTATTTTTGTCCCTCCAAAACGTCAGGTCTCCTGCGTTCACATACCCATGCCCAGCCTAAATTTCCCATGTGCCTATTATAATTCGCTGAAATACTTGATTATACGTGCTGCCCCTTGAACCTCCACAACGCACTGCTGGTCCAGCCACCATGTTTGTCCTTTTCTCAGTGCTTATCGTTTATGGACGTGTCTTTTATGGCATTTTCGGAGTTGCGAGTTCCGAACCTTTTGTATTTGTGAATTGACTTGATTCCTGTCACAAAATAAAGAGTGATTTCCTGTCTTTTGGTAAGAGTGCTTATTTTTTATATTTTCTTTGTTCTTATCTGCCCCTTTTTCTGTGCATCATGTACAGGTTTGGGTGTGATCTACTGTGATGCGATGTGTTGGGTATGGCCGTTGAACGGGGTTGGGAAGCTCTTTTTTATCAATGTGGTGCGTGCGTTCGAATAATAATGGCCCAACACCATACGGGTCTGGCCGCGGAGCGTGGCTTGGTGGGCTGCCCTGCTCCTTTGTGGTGTGGTTTTGTGTTATCTGATTAGCGGCCTTGACGAGGAGAGACCCAGTGGATTGAAAAGGCCGGGGTTGAGCGTGCTATGCCGCAACACTGCCCTGGACCTTTATCTACAAGATCGGGTTGAGCATGCTACATGTACATGTATGTTGTAACAATACTTAGATCGCTGATGACCACTACTGGAATTGATCGGGCTGAGGGAGCGGTACCGTAACAATGCCCCTGATCACTGATGACTTCTCCATTCACTTACCCACCGGGCCGAGCGTGCTGGACTGCTACACTACCCTTGGTCATCGGCGCCCACTCTACGCCTACAGATTGGGTGAGCGTGCTATGCCGCAACAATACCCTTGATCATGATTGTCAGGGAGTAATGAGCTGTTCCTTTCTCTATGCTGCAGGTTCCGGGCATCGCTACCTACTTCATTCCTGGATGGTCCTACCAACCGATGGCTCAGCGGGGCCCCTGGGGCAACGGTCCACCGTCCGCCCTAGGTCCTTCACGGGCTCCTGCTCACCGAGCGGCACCTACTCGGAGGTCAGGCCAGTCAACTCCCTCCAAGCGGGTAACGGGTCCCACAGCGGGCTCGCCATGCTCCACCACTTCTGCCACGGGCGAGTCAGCAATTCAGCATGGCACCCAGCCTTCCGTTGGTGTGGACAATGGTGCCCCTTCTGGACTGCTACCGGTATGCCACCGGGGCTTCAATTTGCCACATCCCATCCAAAGCTCTAGCTTGCTCATGGACTCCAGTCATGAGGCCACCGGGGACGCTCCGGGACAATCTGGGGTGCTCCTTGAAGGAAATGACCAACCACTTGGGGGATCCCCGCCCCATCCTTCGTCCAACCGTCCTGGCCTCCAGCTCCCCCGCACTGGTGAAGACTAAGAAGCGCAAGGCCAAGTCATCTTCCTCGGCCTCTTCTTCATCCAAGGCCAAGAAGAGACGCCACTCCGATCCGGGTCCACCGCCACGGATGGCGGCCGTGCCGACCCTCTTGGAGGCCTTCACCTCTCTTACCCGCAAGATAGACTCTAAGCCTCAGCCAGCAGTGACGGCGCCCGACCTGGGTGCCCTCCCGGCCGCCCCCCTCCCTCACATGGGGCCTTCTCGGAGACCGAGGCGACTTCTATTCTCCAACGAGAACCATCTCTTCAGCGAGACCCAGCGCCGGAGTTGGCCCCGGCTCATGGTGATTCGCTCCGCTTGGAACATGGCTCGGCTCTCCATTCTGCCTGTCTTCGGCCTCTCTCCTCCGAGGATGATGACATCGACTCTATGGCTGGTCTGACTCAGCCGGAGGGCCGCCTCTGCCTTCTTGAGTGCGACATGATCTACGTTCCCATCATCAGATCCCATGCCGACTGAACAGGAACACATGTCGTTCAAGTGTCGCCCTTCTCCTGAGCCCATCTTCCTGGAGATTCCCCTGGATTGTTCCTGTGTGGAGATGATGAATGCCTATGCGAAGGTTAAGCGCTGGCGTGCAGCTCCTCCCAGGGCCGTGTCTTACTACCGCTTTCCCCAAGAGGATGTCTCTCACTTCCTGTCAACCCCAGATATTCCTGACGCTGCCAGAGACAAGATCTCATCCGATTCAGGCAAACGCAACACCTTCAGGGTTAAGGACAAGGCCAACTTTGACGCACTTCTCCGTCACCTAGATATGGCATCCCGCTTCGGCCCCCGATGTTCAGCCTTCCTCCTCCTTCTATCGGAGTATATTACCCGAGCCTGTGAAGAACACTCTCCTGTCTCCCCAGACTTTGCAGCCGTGGCTCTGCGAGGGCTCGACGAGGGACTTAACTTGGTCTTTGAGCAGTTAACTCGTATCTCCCTTCTGGCTACTTCTAGCCGCAGAGCCAATGTGATGGACGCAATGAATGTCCCCTATAATTCCGTCAGGAACAAACTCCTGGACCTTCCGCTTCTTGGGAACGATCTCTTCGCCAGAAAGCTCACCGAGGTCCTGGAGTTGGAGGTGATGTGTATGGAGACTGCCAAGAAGATCTCACTTCGTGAACCTGCAGCTCCTCCGCCACTACCTCTTCCGCCAGATGTTCGCAACCACCTCCGGTGGTGGACTATGAACGAGCACCTGTCGACTGGTTGCCCCTGCATTCCCCCGAGACCGAATGCCACGGTGATGACTGACGCGTCGCTATTCGGATGGGGGGGCCTCCCTTCCTCCACTTCATGCATCCTG